AAATACACCTGCTTGGGTCAACTGATCTGGAGGAAGCCAAGTGTCGGGGTCGCTTGTATCGAATGAAGAACCGATCCAACTTGGCAGGATGTAAACCGAGGCTTTGTCAGAGTCTAACCAACTGTACGTGTGGGTTCCCCGATCGAGCAACATCTCCATTCGGATGAGAGTGTCACAGTCTAGCAGGAAGTTCGGTGGGGTGTCGACAGGTATGTACTCGGGAGCCGGGAAGTCTAGGCCGATGGCTCGACCTATGATCGTGATAAGTCCCCCGATAAAAATTTCCCCTGAGGAACGTTGGCGTATGGAGTCGCATTTGTCTAAAAAGAAGCCTGAAAAACTGAGGGGGAGTGCACGCCTCATGCTTCGGAGGAAAAATAGATCACATCTGTTGATTTGACCGGGCTCGAGACGCCCGAAGATACTCGTCGTAAGGACTCGGTGAGCAATTCGCCAGCAGGGGTGAACGATGTGCTTGGCTCGCTGTCGGCTTGGGTTGAAGGTTGCGGATTCCGGGTTCAAGTTCAATTTTAGGATAATAAGGGTATTCTCTTTCCTTAGTTTTTATTACATTGCATTGTTTCAATTCGATAATTGCATCCAATTTTGCTTTGGAAATTGCCTAAGATCGTTAGTTGTTGCCCGGTTTATTTGGAAACATTGATTTGAGAAAGGTTGAGATTGGTTAATTTGCTTGGAAATTTGTTCAAAAATTGTTTAAACTTTGGTTGAGATTTTCTCATTTTGTCTCGTATTGCTGCCGAATTTTTGTTGGGATTATCAAATTAACCGAGTGGTGTTGTTGAAACCATTTTACATTGTCAAAAGTTGGGTGTCATTATTTCTTGGATTTTTTTTGTGTTCGGTCTAAAGATAGTTGCATTGATTTGAGAGTGGTGAGGTGAGGGATTACGTTGGTGAAGTTGTTTTTGATATTGTAGGTTTCGAAAATGGGGAAAATCGCGGCTCGGACACGCACCCATGGATCATCGATCGATCCTAACCCGCAAAAGGATGTCGCCGGTCCATCACGCAAAGCAGTCGGTAAATGAAAAAAAAGAGGAGAAGAGGGAAGCGATCCTTCCCTTACAAATGCTGAGATCAAAACCTATCGCTCCAACCTTCGGGGTGAAGGTTGCGAGACCGGAAATTTGCATCCAAAAGGTTGGAGCGATAGGTTTTGATCTCAGTATTTGTAAGGGAAGGATCGCTTCCCTCTTCTCCTCTTTTTTTTCGTTTACCGGCTGCTTTGCGTGATGGACCGGCGACATCCTTTTGCGGGTTAGGATCGATCGATGATCCATGGGTGCGTGTCCGAGCCGCGGTTTTGCCCATTTTCGAAACCTACAATATCAAAAACAACTTCACCAACATAATCCCTCACCTCACCACTCTCAAATCAATGCAACTATCTTTAGACCGAACACAAAAAAATCCAAGAAATAATGACACCCAACTTTTGACAATGTAAAATGGTTTCAACAACACCTCTCGGTTAATTTGATAATCCCAACAAAAATTCGGCAGCAATACGAGACAAAATGAGAAAATCCCAACCAAAGTTTAAACAATTTTTGAACAAATTTCCAAGCAAATTAACCAATCTCAACCTTTCTCAAATCAATGTTTTCAAATAAACCGGACAACAACTAACGATCTTAGGCAATTTCCAAAGCATAATTGGATGCAATTATCGAATTGAAACAATGCAATGTAATAAAAACCAAGGAAAGAGAATACCCGTATTATCCCAAAATTGAACTTGAACCCGGAATCCGCTACCGTGCACCCCAAGCTTTGGTTATTCGTGGGTGCCTAAATGCAAGACTTGTTCATTGAAGGGATATTTTCAACTTGATTTGTGTGAAAAATCCGGCGGCGGCTCGTGGTGGCTCAAAAATTATGGGAAAATTTTTGGTGAGATTTTGAGGTTTTGTTTGGTTAGATGTAAAGATCCCTGAAAAAGAAACACTTTGGTGGTGTCGGAATTGCGAGAGGTGGTAGGAGTTGGCCGGAAAATGGCCGGAAAGCGGCGAGTTGGGTGGTGGTGGCGCCCCTAGACCCGGCGATGGATCGGAGTAAATTTCAGGTGGGGTTTGTAGAGCACGGAAAATGGTGAAGAATGGTAGTGGTCTCGTCGTATTCCGACCGGTGGAACTCCGGGAAATCAAATTTTTGTGAAAAGTGGGTTTATGTGTTCTTGAGAGTTTGAGAGAGAATGGTGGGGTTTTTGAGAGAATGAAATGAAGAAGAAGAGTTGCTGGAGGTTTTCAATCCATATTCAAGTGTGGTCAACACCCGGTCAATGTTGGTCAACTCATTAAACCACCTGGTCAACGAAAGTCAAAGCTGGTCAACAAAATATGGGTTGGTCGTCAAAGCAGCACGCGGGTCGCGTAGAAGGGCACGCGGGTCGCGCAGATCATGCAGTTAGGTATCTGATTTTTATCGCAAGTTGAAGACCGGCCGCGCACACCAGCCGCGCACCCGTGCGCGGGCCGCGCAGATCCCTGCTCCCGGAAATCGATTTTTCTCTGTTTTCTTCCGTTTCTTCACTAGTTCTTGATCCCAAATGCCCCAAACACCTAGAAACTCTTGATTTCTTCAAAAATTACTTCAAAAGACGCATCAAAACATTTTCAAAACTTTTTTTATTCGAACATAGAAACACGAAAGCATAAAGCTTTTCCAAAAATGCCTCTCTTTAACGTCTTAGGCGAGACGTCCTTCTAGCTTGGTTCAACACACCGGGACATCCAAGTGGATGACTTCAATAACATTTGCATTAAAACTTTCATAGAATGGCTTTAATCGGTGCCCGTTAACTTTGAAAATTTGTTCCGTTTCTTCACTTTGGATTTCCACCGCTCCATGGTCAAAAGTCTTTATTACAACAAATGGGCCAATCCACCTTGATCTTAATTTGCCCAGGAATAACTTCAACCGTGAATGGTAAAGTAAGACCCTATGTCCCGGTTCAAAATTCTTCCGGGTGATGGACTTGTCGTGGAAGAGCTTTGTTTTCTCCTTATAAATCCTTGCGTTTTCATAGGATTCGTTTCTCAATTCTTCTAGCTCTTGGAGTTGAAGTTTCCTATGCCTTCTAGCCTCGTCAATGTCGAAGTTGCATTTCTTGACCGCCCAAAATGCTCGGTGCTCTAACTCGACGGGAAGATGACAAGATTTTCCAAAAACTAATCTGAAGGGCGACATTCCAATCGGGGTCTTATAAGCGGTCCGATATGCCCATAAGACATCGTCAAGTCTCAAACTCCAATCCTTCCTTGTCGGATTCACCGTTTTCTCTAGAATAGACTTCACTTCACGATTCGAGACCTCCGCTTGACCATTCGTTTGAGGGTGATAGGCAGTAGAGACACGATGAGTCACATGATACTTCTTCAATAGATCCTCCATCATTTTGTTGCAAAAGTGCGTCCCTCTATCACTAATCAAAGCCCTAGGCACACCAAATCTCGCAAAAACATTAGACTTTAAAAATCGATAACCGTTTTGGCATCGTCCGATCTTGTGGCTTTGGCTTCAACCCATTTAGAAACATAGTCAACCGCGAGTAAAATATAAACGTTGCCAAATGATACGGGAAATGGGCCCATAAAATCAATCCCCCATACGTCAAAAATTTCACAAACAAGGATTGGATTTTGGGGCATTTGGTTCTTTTGCGAAATGTTTCCCGTCCTTTGGCATCGCTCACAACTTTTGCAAAACATATAACAATCGCGTGACATGGTTGGCCAAAATAATCCACACTCAAGGACCTTTCTCAAAGTCCGGCTAGGTCCAAAGTGTCCCCTACAAGCAAATTCATGACATAATTGCAAAATGGATTGGTGCTCTTGTTGGGGCACACATCGCCTAATGATTTGATCGGGACAATGTTTCCACAAATAAGGTTCATCCCACACATAGTATTTTGCATTACCTTTCAACTTGTCTTTTTGAGCACGTGTGAATGTGTCGGGATACCTTTTTGTGACCAAAAAGTTAACGATATCGGCATACCAAGGAATAGATTGGGTAAGGGAAAAGAGATGCTCATCCGGAAACTCGTCCCGCAATGGGAGAGGAGTTTCATTTGAAGTGATCCGACTTAGATGATCGGCAACGAGGTTCTCGCATCCGCTCTTGTCCCGGATTTCCAAGTCAAATTCTTGTAACAGTAGGATCCACCGGATGAGTCTCGGCTTTGAATCTTTCTTCGTCATCAAGTACTTAAGAGCTGCGTGATCCGAATACACTATGACCTTGGTACCAAGTAGGTATTGTCTAAATTTCTCCAAGGCGAACACTATGGCCAATAGCTCCTTCTCCGTGGTAGAGTAGTTGCTTTGGGCATTGTCTAGTGTCCTTGATGCATAATAGATCACATGGGAGGCCCTCCCATTCTTTTGACCCAAAACGGCGCCTATCGCATAGTTGCTTGCATCACACATGATCTCAAAAGGGAGATCCCAATTTGGTGCTTGCATGATGGGAGCGGATGTAAGCAACTCTTTGAGCTTGTCAAAAGCTTCTTTGCACGCCTCATTGAACTCGAAATCGACCTCCTTTTGCAAGAGTTGGCACATTGGTCTTGTTATCTTTGAAAAATCCTTGATGAACCTTCGGTAGAAACCTGCATGGCCCAAAAAAGAACGAACTTCCCGAACACAAGTCGGGTAAGGTAAGCTTTGAATAACATCAATTTTGGCCTTATCTACCTCAATTCCTTTTTTAGACACAATGTGACCCAAAATGAGACCTTGACTCACCATGAAATGACATTTCTCAAAATTCAAAACCAAGTTTGTTTCGATGCATCTTTTTAAAATTTTTGTGAGATTAGTCAAACATTCTTGAAAAGAGTTGTCATGTACCGTGAAATCATCCATAAAAACCTCAATTATGTTTTCAACGTAATCCGAAAAGATACTAACCATACAACGTTGGAAAGTGGCCGGGGCGTTACACAATCCAAATGGCATTCTCCGGTATGCAAAAGTACTAAATGGGCATGTAAATGTTGTCTTTTCTTGGTCCTCCGGTGCCACCGGGATTTGGTGAAAACCAGAGTACCCGTCTAGACAACAATAATGGGATTTTCCGGCCAACCTTTCTAACATTTGGTCAATGAAAGGCAATGGGAAATGATCTTTTCGTGTGCTTGCATTGAGTTTGCGGTAGTCAATACATACTCTCCATCCGTTTTGCACACGGGTGGGGACCATCATACCTTTGTTGTTCTCGACCACCGTGATTCCCGTCTTCTTTGGAACGAATTGCACCGGGCTCACCCATTTGCTATCCGAGATTGGATAGATCATCCCTGCATCAAGAAGTTTTAATATCTCTTTCTTCACAACTTCCATCATTGGTGGATTTAACCTTCTTTGCGCGTCTCTACTTGGCTTGCATTCATCCTCCATTAAGATCTTGTGCATACAAGTGGAGGGGCTCAAACCCTTGATATCCGCAATCGTCCAACCCATGGCTTCTTTATGCTCCTTCAACACCTTGAGGAGTTGCTCTTCTTCAAATTTGGTTAAATGAGTTGAGATGATAACCGGAAGGGTTTCATTCTTTCCCAAGTAGGCATACTTCAAGTGTTGAGGTAAGACCTTTAATTCCAATTCGGGTGGTTGAACAAGGGATGGAGACAATTTTGTATGAGTTGGGGACAATTCAATTTGCTTGACATCTAATCTTGTGGATTTTTTCATTTCCATTTTATTTACCAACTTCTCAACTTCCGAATCCAAAGAATAAAGCTTTAATTGCTCGGCTAGCTTCCCACAATCAAATCCTTTGCTTAAGATCACCTCCAACATATCACCGTTAGATAACTCAAACAATTCTTGAGTAATTGGCTCAACAACATCAACAAAGTACAAAGATGAAACATCACTAGGATATCTCATGGTATCATAAATATTAAAACTTATTGTTTCACCATCAAACTCCATTGTCAAACTTCCCGCATACACATCGATCTTTGTCCTAGCCGTCTTCAAAAATGGTCTCCCAAGCAAGATTAGAGCCAATTTGGAAGACACTTGCTCATCTAGATCAATCACATAGAAATCCGTCGGGGAGACTAATTGGTTCACTTGCATTAGGACATCTTCTAAAACACCTCTAGGAAAGACACTTGATTTATCCGCAAGAGAGATCATGACACCGGTTTCACTTAAGGGTCCGACATTTAATGGTTCATACACTGAATAGGGCATGACATTGATAGAAGCACCAAGATCAAGCATAGCACTACTACAAGTGACATCTCCAATCTTGCAAGGAACCGTGAACATTCCGGGATCTTTGCATTTGGGTGG